GCCGCTTTTTTAAAGGGAGAGACAGACCACACCCCAATGGGCTGGTATCTTGGCAGCTATTGGTTGGAGGGGTGGAAGGACCTCCCGCAACACTTTCTGGCTAAGAATCTTTGATAGTTTTCCCCCTTAGAACCATTTATTTAGTATTATAACTGATGTTATGTGGGGATATTTTGTCATCTAACAAATAAAGCTTACCTGAAGAGCAGAGTGTAGAGTGAGCCACTAGTTAACCATAGAGGCCAGGCAGTGGTGGTGCACACCTTTAATCCCAACACTTGGGGAGGGGCAGAGGCAGACAGATCTCTGTGAGTTCAAAGCCACCCTGGGCTACACTAGATTGCTCCAGTCTCAAAGAGAAACAGAGCCAGGCTGTGGTGGCTCACTCCTTTAATCCCAGTGTTTGGGAGTCGTTCACCTTTAGTCCCAGCACTAGGGAGGTGGAGGCGGGAAGGGATATGGCTGGGCAGAGAGGAGAATATAAGGCGGGAGAAGACAGGAGCTCAAGGCATTCAGTCTGAGCAATTCAGTCTGAGGACTTGTAGAGATTGGATAACCCTTCAGTCTGAGCATTTAAGGAGGTAAGAACTCTAGTGGCTGGCTACTCTGCTTCTCTGATCTTTCAGCTTTCACCCTCTAATACTTAACTCCAGGTTTTTATTATTAACACCAATTACAAATCACACTACAATGTTAGTAACATATAGTAAAATTTTTTTAGTCATTTTGTTATGATGAAGCAGGGAATCCTATTTAAGGATACTATCATGTATTGAACTAAATAAAACCATGGACCATTCGTAAAGAATGTTAAACAATCTTTACGTGCTGAAAACATTGCACACCAAGTATATTTGTCCATATGAAATCACAACAGCATTAATTCTAGTAGCAACTGTGGTTAGCAGAACAAAACAGCTTCAGGAAGGAAACATCCATTGTGGCTCACAGTTTTAACCGAATCAGTCCATCGTGGCACTAAGGTATAGTGGAGCGGTAACTCACATCATGGTGAGCAGGAATCAAAGAGAAAACACCTGTGTACACAGCTTTCCTTTGTCCTTTTCATCCTATCTGGGCCCCCACTCTAAGAAGTGGTGCCTCCCACGTTCAAGGTGAGTTCTAAGAATGCCTTCATTGTAACCCAGGGGTATGCATTACTGATTGCCCAGACACATCTCAGTCCAGTCAGGCTGGCAGTTAAGCGAATCTAAATCTAGTACAATTAAAAATGGGATATAGTAGTCAAGCTATGGGAGTAGGTGGAAATTGGAGAAGATGGAAAATGAGCAGTCACCTGCAGTTATGAGATTACACTTAAGTGAGAATACAGCTATACCATTGTGTAACCAGTGAGAATACAGCCATACCATTGTGTAACCATTACCGCGCTCTATCTCTAGACCATCTTCATCTTGTGAAACTAAAACTGTGTTCTAATTAGACAATTACCCACTCCTTCTGCCTCTAGCCCACAAACCTCAACATTTGCTTATCATGTCCCTGAATTTGACTACTATCATATGAATAAAAATTTCACAGTTTTGTAACTGTCTTATTTTACTTAAGGTAATGTCTTCAGGGATCATCTATATTGTAATAAGTGTCAAAGTTCTTTTTGTTGTTTTTTGTTTTTATTAATATTTTAATAAAAATATACCACTTCCCCCCAACTTTTCCTATTCCCCACTTCACCCCCTTTCAAATTGGTAGCCTATTTTTCTTTGGCCATTATTGGTACTTACTCATACATATAAATACAACTGCTCAGTCTGTCTAATGTGGCTTACTACAGGCAGCTAGTGACCAGTGAAGAACTAGCCTCCCCCAGGGATGCACTCCATAATTTGTTATCCAAAACAAAGTAGTCATGCCTGAAATCATATTTCACTTTTAAAGCTGACTAATATCGACATATATATATATATATATATATACCACATTTTGTATATTAATTCATCTATCACCAGCCACTTGGGCTACTTCTGCCATTTTAACAATGCTGCCATGAGCATTGTTTTATGCATGCCCATTCATGTCCTGGCTTTCCATTCATTTTGGAGTTGGAGTCCCTGAATCATGGTAATTCTGTCTTTACTGTTCTGAGAAACTGTATTGTTTCAATAGTGCTCTGCTGGTTTACGTTCACAACATCAGTGTGCCTGGGTTCTTGCTTCCCTGCATCCTTGCCATGCTGCTTATTTTGTATTTTGTTTGTTTTCCTATAATGCCATTGTACTAGTAGTATTTAGTAGCATGTAGAGCCTCAGGGTTCTGATGTGGATCCCCTAGTAACTACTGACCATCTTTTCACGTGCTTGTTGGCCATTTTTGTATCTTTGGAGAAATATGTGTTCAAATCCTTTGTCCATTTTTTCTAATCTTCCTTGCTTTCTTTTGCAACAATGTCTTGCTATGTAGCCCATCCTGGCCTTAAATTCTGCATCCTTCTGCCACAGCCTCCTGAATGTTGCAGTTATAGGCATGTAGCATCTGATTTGTTTGCATGGGGTTTTGTTGTTGTTGTTGTTGTTTGGTTTATTTACTTTTAAAAGGAAATAGCCTTAAGAACCAGTTACAACTTTAGAACGTCCAGAAAGATCCCTGTGTCTAGTCAAGTTTTACCTGTTCTTCCTTAAGTGTCATCTGTTTCTGCTCTGTTCCTATTGACTCATTTAGCATCATTTCATCCTCTTATATCAGTTGTTCATGGGTGAAGGAATACCTGCATAATTGATAACAGTGTGTCCAATTATGATTGAAAGATAAGGATAAATTATCATAAATTCTAGTAAGTTTGCTCTTTAAGTGATCTGTAATTTTTCTCTCAATTCAAGACCTATGTGATTAGTTGTGAACGCATTAATAATAAACTCTGAGACACAATAATGCATCAGTGTTGCCTTAAGGAAAGAAATCCAAGCACATTTCCTTCATGTCATCTGATCAATAACAAACCCGATTTGAGTTCTGCACTTCACCATCCAGTGTCTTCTGTCCTCCCTGTCTATGAATCTGAATCTGTGCCTGCCTGAAGACTGTCTTATGAATCTGTGTCTGTTCCTAATAGAGGTCTTTGTTTTGTATTTGTTGAGCAGCACAAAAAGTATCATATGAGGAAGAAATCTTTAACAGTTTTTATAAGATATTTAAGTCACTGACTTCTACTGACCCCAACTGACCCAGATAAGAAACAGCATTACAAGCATCATTGTTTATTTTGCAACATTTGTGGTGGATATTCATTCCTAAGACTGCTTTTAGCCTATGTGCTGTTTCCAGCAAATGATTATAGGAACACACACACATTGCTCTGGGGCAGGGGCATGGAAGAGTACATAATTTAAGATTCTAATTATGCATTAGCTTTGTTGTAAAAGTTGATTATATGGGAAATGTAAGGCATTTGCAAGCTGAACAGACAGGCTGAGTACACAATAGGATAGCGGTCTTCAAGATGTAATTCTGTCTTTGGCTATGAGGTCCAGAAAAAATTCCAGTGTCTTAGCATGGGAGAGCCCCCCCCCCCCCCATAATGCCTTACCATAGATCTGAGATTCCCTCTCTGAGAACATGTAACATTGAGCAAGTTGCACAACTTCTCTATAGGCTGAACTAAGTCATTTCTCAGATGTTTTCTCCTGTTGCCTATTAAATCTTCTTACTTATTACCAATTTACTCACTACTCTTATCACCTTCAGTAAATCCCATCTTTAGGTTCTAAACAAGCATAGATTGCAGCCTATTTTAACTCACTTTCTTGAAAGTTTAACATTTCCTTGGCTTTATAGATCTACTTTTTATCTAATCTGAACCCAGAATTACTTTTTCTAAGAATTAGCCAATGATAATATAGCAATAATATTTTGAGCAGTATCAGGGCAAGCTTTGTGTTCTTATAGAAGCTAATGTCACAGCATTTAAAAACAATGAAAAATGCTCTAGCAATTTTCTAGGATCTATATTTTTAGGAGAGGTTCTATAAAACAGAATATAACACAATCTTTTACAAAATGCTCTAATTTTCTAGTACTTGAAGTAATTTCTGTCTCAGAGGTCAAGAAGTACTTTTAATACTGCGTTGGAAAGCCAGTTTTAATTTATATTGACCTTTTTCTCCTTTGAGCATTCAGTCTGCAATCAATAAAATGTTGATGACTGCTCTTTAGAAGGCAGCTGTACGGATAAAGTATTATAAATATTCAACTTTCCCTTCTAAACATTGCCACCAACAGCTGGGCATCCCATTTAGCAGAACAGATTTTACGCACAGAGCCTGGCACGTTCCTGAATCAGTGTAGTGAAAGAAACAAAGAATAGTTTCTTATGGATTGGGGACTTGTAAAGACATGCAGCATCTGTTCCCCAGATCAGTCATAGTCTGCTCGCCCTGAATCATGTCCGATTCTAGGATAATGTGCAAAACTTACCATACAAATACCTGCACCACTTAGCACTCGGTTCCTGCAAATGGCAGATTTTTTTCACTTTCTCTATCAAAGATACTTAGATTATTTTACAATTAAGTATAATTTTTCCTCAATATTTTTAATCAGACAACTTATTTTTTTACTAAAATTTTTCTGTAGTAAAAACTAGTCTGGGGATATAGCTCAGTGGTAGGGCTCTTACCGAGCAAGCACAAAGTCTGGTTTCAGTACCCAGTACTATTTAAATTTTATGGTAGTATGTGTATATAAGCTTTCTCTCTCTCTCGCTCTCTATCTATCTATGTATCTATCTATCTGATTCATTTAAATGCTTAATTATGACCCTGTGTTAAAATATGCTACTAGAAATAAACTGATCAAATAAAAACGTTAAGATATCCAAATTTATCATCATAATTAATTTTTTCATGTGGCATTTATCTTTAACAAGCAATATAAAAATTAGTTGGTAAAATAACTTGGACTCAATTATTTCTATTTTATCCGAAAATATCAACCTAAAATAAAGCATGCCAAATCTAAAATTTCTTTAACTGTTTTGTTTACAGAGCTAGAAGATCACTGAAATTGGATGATCTGTTTGTGAAAAAGGTAAGTAATGGTTTTTGAATTGTGATTACAACCTGCTGTTAACATATGCCTATAATCCTAGTACATGTTGGGTGGAGACAGGAGTATCCTGAGTTCAAGATAGTCCTCAGCTACATAGTTACCTGGGTTACATGGGGGGGGGAGATAGGATAATGAGAGAGAGTAAGCATGTGATTGCATGGTTATGACTGTTTTTAACTTTTGCTTATTGATTTACCTTAATAGGTATAGCATGTATCAAAAACATGACACAGTTGTCCTTAATACAGTGTTGTCTGCATATACAATATTTTTTAATCTAGCATTCCAAAATTTCTGGTCAGCTTGAGATAGACATGTGAGAAGCAAATTATTTAGTAACCTTTATAAAAATAATGTAGTAGATATTAGTTAACGGAAGTTTGCCACCTCTCTATATATAGATAGATAAAATATATGTCTCTAATGTATAAAAAGAAATATGACTAATAGCAGTATTTTAATATATATATTATAACCTACTAAAGTAATATCAAAACATTAGTGGATTGTCACATCAAAAAGTAATAATTTGCCTCAATTATGCTGGCATAGAGTAAATGACAGAGTACCGTCAGTATAATAAAATATACCATGTTAATCACAATAAAAAATAAAGTTATACTATTGGTATAATTTTCTAAATCTACTCATAGAATATTCCCGGTGCCAATATGTTAGCACGTGTTATCTTATAATCAGTCATTCCATACCAATTATGAATGTAGATACAAACATTGACTGACATACTCATGACTTCTCTAATGTTAAATGTAAATAATTGGTAAGGAAAGAGATGAAAGCAAATTGCTAGTCAATAATTGGGCTCTTAAAAATTCCATGAGACTCCCATTTTCAGAAATAGTAGCGCAGGCTTTTAATCCCAGCACTCAGGCAGCAGGGGCAGGTGGATCTCTTGAGTTTAGTCTGCTCTACAGAGGGAATTCCAGGACAGCCAGAACAACACAGAGAAACCCTGTCTTGTAGAGCGGGGTGGGGGGGGGGCGCTTTTTGGAAGACTCATTGGTTTTAGCAAAAAAGAATATCATCATTTAAGAACCTTCCTGGGTGATATATATATATATATATATGTATATATACGTATATATATACGTATATATATATATTTGATACAAAGATGGAAAATCCTGCAGTGGCACTAAAAACGCCATTAAGGTGTAATCAGCAATTTAGAGTACCATTATCCAGCTTGTCTGTGGAGTGCAGCTGTGACCGTGGATCTGCATCTGTCTCTTCCGTCAGAAAGTGAGCAGTTCAGCTTCAAGTACCATCCTTCCTGGCCCAGAGCTGTTCTTTGGGAGACCAACTTTCCACCTAGTTTTCTTCATGTGAGGATGTGTCTAGGTCAGGGTCACAAGAAATACCCTGTGTTAGAAGAACACATTGTTGTATTTGGCCTGGGTCTGTACTTTTAAACTTGAATATTAACTCAGTTAATATTTCCTTACTTGCCATTGATTTATTCATATTTTCTAGTTGTTCATGATTTAATCTGGGCCAATTGTATGTCTTGGGGATTTGATATAGTCATTCATTCATATTTCCTTAAGACCTGTTTCATTTCTCCAAAGTCAGTAGATTGAGCAGCACCAGTCAAAAAATCTGAAATGCCCCTTTAGGATTTCTAGCAATAAACATGAAGTTATATTTTCCTCTGTCTTTTGGACATCCGTGACCCTCTTTGGATAATTATTTGTGTTTCTATGTTAAAGTTCCTAAGTCATCTCGACAGACACTTCCATCTTCCCTTTCTTGGTCTTCTGTCTGGGATCACGCACACATCCCTGATCACGCACACAGCCCTGATTACGCACACAGCCCTGATCATGCACACAGCCCTGATCATGCACACATCCCTCGGTGTGTTCAGTGCGTGTGTCCTGTTTCAGCTCAGTAATGTAGGTTCACAGTGATGTTACAATAATGTCACATTTACCTCTGCAGCAGTGTAGATCACTGGCTGCAGATACTGAGAAAAATCCTCACTAATGGGTCGTTGGAGGAGCCAAAAGCCCAGAATTTTGAAAGGTTAAGTGTTTTTGTGTATTCATTTGGAGAGCAGCACAGATGGGTGCTTGAGGGACTGTCACTAAGATGTGCTTATTTGCTATGCCAGGCATTTCCTGTGTGTTCAGCTAGCATTCCAAAAACCTATGCTTACCAACTGAGAGGTTTGTTTTTGCTTTAGTTTTGTTTTGGTTTGTTTTCATACAGATAATCGTTGTACATGGCAGCCGTAACTGATTTACAGTGAACAATGTTTCTGGCATGTGACACAAGTTATGTTCCCTAGAATTGGAGGTTTGCAGTAGGGATCCTTTGTTACAAGTAACCTGACTTCCTTTCAAGGTCCTTCTCCTGGCCCTGGCGTCAGCTGTCACCTATCCCCATCACATTCCCGTCTGTACTCATGTCCAGTTTCCCAATAGAAGGAGACTAAGTCATTTTGCTTGCCTACTGAAACCAAATCTGGGGCTGGTGAGATGGTTCCACTTACTAAGGTGCTAGCCACACAAGCCTGGTGAACTACGTTCTGTCTGTGGGACCCATGGAGAGTTGTAGAGAGAGATTCACCTCCACCCCTCCACAAAGTTGTCCTCTGACCTTTACATATATGTCTGCCACACATCTACACACACATAATAAAAATGAAAAGAAAGGCCCTCATGAAACATTCTTAAATGAGAAGCATTTCAAAAAGACACTGGTAGAAAAGTAAGCTCTTCCTGGAGAAAGTCTGACAGTTAAGTAGACTGTATGTCTCAAGTCCCTGTTCTTGAGGAATAAGATAAGAGAAAAATGTATGCCTGCTGTTCAGACCTTACACTGCTGCCAGATAGTCCATGATTGCTTGTGTATCTGAATATACAGTACAGAAATAAAAACCCTTTTATTAACATATGCAAATTTAAAATGTTTATATTTAAATATACAGAGTATGCCATTTGCATATGTCAGGTTCATTTGACTTCCTGAAGAAAGTCAAAACCAAGGTGTTTTCCAAAGAATAAATTATGTCACAGTGGCCCAGGTAGGTGGCAGCAAACTCTGGAGTTGTACATCTCCAGTTCCCTTATTGCCTGTCACACTCAGTGCTCAGGGCAGTTCCCTTCTCTGTCCTTGCTCCAGTCTATCTAAGAGATTCCTTCAGGATGCAGTGACATGAGAATTAAGTCCATTAGCCTGGCTTTATGCTTACCCTTTTGTTGTGTCAGAGAAAGTATATCCCTGAAAGGGAAAATAACTTCACAATTCCAAGACAGACAGACAGACAGACACACAGACACACACACACACACACACACACACACACAAAGAGTGCTAAAGATTATGGGACTGGAACCTCAGCCAAAGTGCGTTGGTTCTGGGGAGATTTTCCACAGACTCTACTCTGTCTCTCGTGTTTGAATGGCACAGTTGGAATTCCTTTGCCTTCACCTCTTCTCCTCACCAAGCTAGAACAGAGAGCAATGCCATGCATCCTTGCCTGAGACACATGGCATTGCCAGCTGCCTCCTCCCTACCTACTCTTCCCACTTTACTCACCATGCTAGATAAGAGGAGAAACTCAAGTCAAACAAATGACGAGAGCACAGTCCCGAAAGTGCAGAGCAGCAGAACCATTGTGAGTCCCCAGCAGGCTGCCTGGGAGTGCTCCTTCCTCGTACCATGGCTGCTTTCCCTTTGGTACAATGGCTTAAATATCGCTAGACTCTTTTCTCTTGAAAATTTTGGCTTATGTTAACTTTAATAACTGTCTAAATTTATTAAATATTTCAAAATATTATGTTCATTCAGTACAAAAAGTCTTTAATAAACTGATTCCATTTGGGAAAAAAAAAACATTTAAAAAAGATTTAGTTTCACAAATGGATGGATCTAGAGAACATCATATTGAGTGAGGTAATCCAGACCCAGAAAGACAAATATCATATGTACTCAATCATAAATGGCTTTTAGATAAAAAGCAAAGAAAAACCAGACTACAATTCACAATCCCGGAGAACCTAGGCAACAAAGAGGACCCTAACCTAAGAGAGACATACATGGATCTAATCTACATGGGAAGTAGAAAAAGACAAGATCTCCTGAGTAAATTGGGAGCATGGGGACCATGGAAGATGGTACAAGGGAAGGGGAGAGGAAGGGAAGGGAGTGGAGAAAAATATATAGTTCAATAAAAATAGGAAAAAAGAAAAAAAGGAAAGATTTACTTTCTTTTTTTTATTATATGTGTGGGGGGGTATGCACACGTAAATGTAAGTGCCCTTGGAGGCCAGATTGTGTGCTACCCTTTGTGGGTACAGGGAACTAAACTCAGGCCCTCTGCAGGAGTAATATGTGGTCTTAACACTGAGCCATCTCTCCACCCTGTAAACTTATTAAGCAAAATCATTCACGGACCTGATATCTGAGTTACTATGTCAAATTTCTTCCAGGAATAGCCATAATCTTTTATTTTCCCAAGACAGGATTTCTCTGTGTAACCTTGACTGTCCTGAAACTCACTCTGTAGACCAGACTGGCCTCAAACTCAGATTCACTGGCCTCTATTTACTGAGTGCTGAGAAGGTGTGGGCCATCAGGCCCAGCATGATAGTCTTAAAATTACACAAAAGTGTAAGGTCTTTAGGAGAAAATATAGAAACCATCTTTGTGAATTTACAGGAGCCAAAAATTTCTCAAGGCATAAAAAAGTTATATTTATAAAAGAAAAGTTAATGAATTAGACTTTATTAAAATTAATTTTTTTCTTCTGATTGGAAGATCACATTAAAAGCTGAATAAATTCCAGTGATTTTTAAATTTGAAGTGTATTTTTGTTTTATAATAAAGTTTAAAAATAAAAAAATTCAAAATTAAAAAGAAATGAAAGAAAATGAACAGGCAAGCTATGAATTGAGAAGAGTATATTTGTCATGCATGTATCTGACAAAAGTGCAAACTATAGAAATAAGAAC